ACCGGCTGGCTCGTCTACGATGAGAAGAAGCCCCTGCCTGAGCCCGCGACCGTAGACGATTTCGAGGCCGCCTTTGATGATTTTGATCTTGTGCCCGTCGACCATCGAGAGCTCTACGACAAGGTCGATTACTCCTTCAGCTTCACCGTCAAGATGGATAATCTGGTTGATGGCGCTAACTAGTATGTCTCCCGTCGAATGCTGTGACAGGCCAATGACTAATATGCACCAGCGCCTTCTTCAACGACAAGACCTACGTCGCCCCCAAGGTCCCGTCCTTGTACACCGCCCTCACTGTCGGGGAGAAGAACGCTCTGGACCCCCGCGTCTACGGTACCTACACCAACACGCAGGTCCTCAAGCACAACGAGGTGATCGAGATCGTCCTCAACAATGAGGACGACGGCAAGCACCCCTTCCACCTCCACGGCCACCAGTTCCAAGTCGTCCACCGCTCCGACGAGGACGCCGGCGCGTACGCCAACGACAGCAGCATCAGCTTCCCAAAGTACCCGATGCGCCGAGACACCCTCGTCGTCGAGGGCAACGGCAACTTTGTGATCCGCTTCAAGGCTAACAACCCGGGCGTGTGGCTCTTCCACTGCCATATTGAGTGGCACATGGACCAGGGTCTTGTCGCCACCATCATCGAGGCGCCCGAGGCGCTCCAGGGGCAGAAGATCCCTGAGGGACACCTGGAGGCGTGTCGTGCGGGTGGAGTTCCCACCAAGGGCAACGCCGCAGGCAATACCAAGAACGTCTTCGACCTGAAGGGTGAGAACAAGCCCGCCGGGCCCCTGCCTGAAGGTTTCACGGCCAAGGGCTATGTTGCCATGTTTTTCAGCGTTATCGCCGCCTTCCTGGGCCTGGCCGTCATTTCATGGTGAGTTTAACGAATCAGTCTCCTTTTCCATCACTGAAGCTTTCATGCTAATTCTTGCTAGGTACGGTTCTATGGAGTCTGACCAGAAGGAGAGCGCTGTCGAAGAAGACGAGACAACTCCCCTGGCCAGAGGCAGAGATGAGTGAGACGCATATAGAGGATCTTTACAAACATCATACCCAAGCAATGTGATTAGTTACCATAGCATTTATCAGCAATCGGTCAAATTTGAACAGAGATTCACCTGCCATTCACCATCTGATGCTGCGACCAAGACTGTGGGCCAGGCGAGTCATCTCGGTCTCCGAGGCATGGCCCTCGGTATCTCGGAGCACAGTGTCAACCCCGTCCGGGAGCACTTCCATCTGTCGATTGCCTGTCAACCACTGAGGATACAGCGCTTATTTAGGATGGCTTGGGTAAGGTGGCTGTCAGGTTGTTGGCATACATCGAATTGGCATACTGATCAGCCATACATCGTTGGAAGCAACGAGCACATTTGGACTTGGGCGAGCACAAATAAACATCAACCATAAACTCATTGCTAAACTAAGGACTGGATATCATCTCGTCGCACATAAACACATCGTCCAACCAAAAGTCCATAAATCATGACATCCAACCCAACCACCCACCCCATCCGCCCCCCATCAACAACAGTCCTATGTACCTGAAGCCATGCCACACCTCTTACCTCATCGTCTTGCTCATCGGATATTGTTAAGCTGGACGCTGTTCTGCGAAGTCGAGTCCTTGGCGGCGTTCCAGTGCTCCGAGTTCCTCGCGTTGTCCTCCATGCGCGCAAGGCGGGAGTTGCGCTTCTTCTGCTGGCTGCGGCGGTAGAAGAACAACGCGGCGCCGAGAAGCAGACCGACGCCCGCGACGGCACCGATGACGATACCGGCGATGGCGCCGCCGGAAAGCTTCTTGCTGCCGGAAGACGAAGAGCCGGAGCCGCTGTTGGAGGCGGAGTTGGTGGACGAGGCGGACGGGGAGGCGGTGGCCTTGAGGTCGTCCTCGCCGGGCTCGGTGGCGTTGAAGCAGGGGATGCGGGTGTTGAAGTTGGCGAGCTCGACGTAGGTGATGTCGGCGCAGGCGTAGAAGGTCTGGTTGTGCGGGGCGTCCCAGTCGGCCTTGTAGATGATCTGGAGGGTGGCGTTGCTGCCGGCGGTGACGGAGCTGGGCGGGTTGGCGATGTTGACGCAGGTGTGGCCGGGGTTCAGGTCGGCGACGCTCTGGTTTTCGATGAGAGTTTCAAAGTCGCTGTTGGAGGTAGGGTCTGGGAGGACGAGTAAGTATGTTGTTGTTGCAGAATGCAGTTACACAAGGTGATTGTATAAGAAGTGTCAAAATTTGGGTTAGGGGGTTAGGGTTAACATACCGTTCTTGTAGGAAATGGAGATCTTGGTGTTGTAGTAATCATCCTGGGCAACAAGGGCAACCTGTCCGTTCACTGGCAGAGTTTATGTTAGACATGGGCAGTTGAGATTGAAGTCATGGCAACTCACCAAGAGGGAACTCGGTTCTGTTCTCAACGCCAGACTTGGAGCCGCAAGGGGCCTGGTTGTCCATATCGCCGCTCCATACTCTGTCGGCGGGCCACATGAAGGCAGCAGGGCTACGAGACAAAGTCAGTCAACGTCACCAACACCGCTGTTCCTCGGCGTCCGACTCACCCCATGTCATCGTCCATGACATTGTCCTGGGCGTAGGCGACAGACGCCAGCCCGAGGGCCAAGAAGGTCTTCAGCGAGGAGTGCATTTCGAAAAAGTCGATGAAAACGATTGCAAGTCGGATACCCGGCAGAACCCCAAGAGATGCAAAGCCACAACTTCAGACCAAGGGACTGGACTGGGATCGGGGAGATGAGCGATGGAAATTAAGAATTAAGGGGTGTGCATCCTTGGGAACACGAACCGGATGGCGGCAATGCGTTCAAGTTATACTACTGCTGCAAGTGCCTACCCGGTTTACCCAGTTTACCTTTCTGATGTACGGAGACTGCCTCTTCGAGGGCTGCATGTGTGTGTGTACATGTTCCCGCCCCGCGCACGCCAACCTCGATCCAACCACCTCCGCTTTGCACATGTGCAGAATAGACAACGCTCAAAAAGCAATGAGGGAAAATTTCGAACCGTCCGTCCACACACACACAACGAACAGAAGTGCGGCCCAGAACGTGGGCTCCTCTGGCCAAGTACGCCGAATCTCGTTGGGTGATGCATGGTCTGGGTGGTGGTGCAGGTGGCGACAAGTTCTTGGAAAGTCTTGGAAATGTACCGTTAGGTTCACAGGATGACAGGACCCAGCAAAATCCGAAGGGACCTTTGGAGAAGCGGTTCGGCAGCATTGCAGAGGAGAACTGGGGACAGGCATCGGCGGCAAATACGAAGTTCTCGGCCGCCGAAGGGGCCGGCTGGTTCAATCTAACGTCTCTTTCTTCCTCTCCTCTCTGTTTATTTGTCTTGTCTTTTCTGCAATAGACTGGTGGGCAAAGGGCCAGCATCGGATAAGCGTCACTTGGCAAAAAGGCAACGGGTTGCAGAGTAGCGTGGGAGTCATGGAGAAGCGACAGGGTTCCGGGTTGTGAGTCTTGACTCTTGAGTGGTGAGATGCGCAACATTCGAAGAGGGGAACGAGGGATAAAAAAATACAATTAAATAAAAACAATTTTCAGAGTGCAGTTTATCAGATCGCTCCGTCCAATCAAGTGCTGCCATGCGGCCCGCCGTGCCTCTTGGCGGCAGCGCCAATATCGCCCAAACAGGGAACGTCCGTCCTCTTCGCCGATGGCTTTCCCACTGATGTGATTGATAAGATTAGATGCATCACAAGGTCGAGATCCTGTGTGTGTCCAGTGCCCGGTGCTCCGCTCCATTTAATCGTACCTTAAACCCTTTCTCCACCGACAAGGGGGGGGCTGGTGTCTCCTCCTCCTCCTTCCAGCCAGCCATTCAGCCAGGACTCAGTCCGACCTCGCCCACAAAAGAACCAGGGGGGGAGGGTAGTTTAACCCATCCCGCCGAACGAAGCGAGAAAAAGTGCCCCCCTCACGCCACGGACAGTCATCGTCCATCAGATAATCGCAGTGGCCATGGGCGACCCCTGGTTCTGGGCCGAGAGCTGGACCCGACGATATCGGTGAATCCAGACACACGCACCGGAAAGAAAAGCCCTTTTCGGGAAGGCGAGAAGCATCCTTACCGGCCAACCGAATGTTTTCAGCACTTGGCATCAGGTCACCGTTTCCCGACAGGTCGACAAGGAGGGCGGGGTGGAGGATGAGAGGGGCGGCGGCGGCACAGGAACATGATGTGAGTTTGTTGTTGCTACCTTGCCTACTGCAAGCTGCAACTGCGCGCGCGAGAGAGCGGAGCGGATCATGGATCATCAGTCTAGCAACAAACCACTGCCAACCAGCCTTCTTCCTCCTCTTCACTCGTCTGCTTCTCTTGCACAGCACACTAATCAAGGCTTTAGTCATGTCCTCGGCATCGCCAGCTGGTTAAGGTAGCAGCCGTACCATGTAAGTACACTTAGAGTTGCGTTGGTTCGGCGGGTACCTGTGCCACGCCCCCTCCCCTCCTCTCCGACATGGATCTCGTTCTTGATTTTCCATCGTTGGTACGAGCTTTTCGGCATCCCGCACGAGATTGCACTCACAAGCGTGCCGGGCCCAGTCATGTCGGGTCGGCGATCCGGGGCAAATCCGAGCACGCCAGATCCCAACTTGCTCACCTTGCTCACGCCGGACTGCCCTTCGTCTTTGGGCAAATCCACATGCGCGCGAGTTGGTTCCCCCTGTCTCCGCAAGCTGAGTGATGGAGCTGAGCCAAGACTGCGAAGCTGGGAGTTCCCATGACGGATACACGCACACGAACCCGGCTCGCAGTCTAGACTGACGCGTGGTTCCTGGGAATACGAAAAGCCAAGAACAGTATGCATATAATAGGCTCTTCCCAACCGTCTCTTGGTCCGGATTGTCTCCTCTTCCTCCTCACGCTCGTTCTTAATTAGCTGATTGGCATTTCCAAGACAATTCCCCTTCCAGTCCTCAAAGCATCTTCCTCGGCATCCTCAACCTTTAGCCTTACAAGCTTCCTAATAGCCTTCAAGATGCGTTCATTCGTTACCTGCACCGTTCTGGCCTCCGTCGCCTCCCTGGCTTCCGCCTCCATCCAGGCCCGCTGGGAGTACCCTGAGGCTGTTCCCGCTATCATGCGCCGTCAGGACCCTGGCACTCCCGCCTACGCCTGCCACGAGAACTGCGGTAAGAACACGTCACCATTGGGGTCTCAACTGAGGCACAATGGCAGCTGTATCACGAGATTTGGCGTCTAACACCACCTGACATAGGTCTTCTCATCACCCTCGGCCGTACCGACGGCTTCTGCGACAACGCCGAGTGGAACACCCGCTACGACGCCTGCATGGCCTGCGCCAACAACTTCGGCATCTGGATCTACTACCGCAACGGCGTGACCACCGCCGCCGAGAAGTGCGGCCTGTCTCCCACTCCCAGCCCCTCCGGCGCCGCCGCCACCACTGCCGCTGCCACCAGCGCCGCCCCGGCTCCCTCTACTGCCGCCGAGCCCGCCCCCACCACCGCGGCCGCTTCTTCTTCCGCCGCCGCCCCTCCCGCTGAGGAGTCCTCTTCCGCCCCTGCTGCCACCTCTGCCGCTGCTCCCGCCACCACCCTGACCACCGCCGCCAGCTCTGCCGCCTCCTCCGGCGCGGCCACCCCCTCCGCCTCTGGCACCGGTGCCGCCGGTACCTCCACCGCCACCGCTACCCGCGTCACCTCCATCGGTACCTCCGTCGTCATTGTATGTGCCGCCTGGGCCTGGTCTCTGTTGTGATGGGAATCTGTGTTAACGTGGTCTCTCTCTGCCTTTTAGCCCTCCGGAACTGCCACCCCCAGCAGCCCCGTCTTCGCCGGCGCCTCCAAGAACACCGGCGTTCTCGGCGCCGTCGGCGCCATCGGTGTCGTCGGCCTGGTCCTTGCTGCTCTCTAAGCGAGAACGCCGTCATGACGATGATTTGTACATACGCGATGAATTTGGAAAAGCACACCAAGAAGCATTAGCTTGCTTTATCCTTAATTTTCACTGGAGATCTGGGCCACTTTTCAATGTGTGTATGATAGCGAGCTTGTTATTATACGATTGGAGATAGTATATCTAAACCTAATGAGTCTCCCATCATGTGCTGGTTCTGTGTCATCATGAAATTGCTCTTGATGATTTAGGGTAAACTGCCTAGTGCCTACTTATACATCATAATGTTAGGATGAGTAGTAGTATTTCTGACTGGCTGGTGATCCATAGACCGCGTTCCTGAGCGGACTTTCAAAAAGGTCGCGAATTTGATCGAGGCTGTAGCGAGCGTTGATGGCAAGCTGAAGCATTATGCGAGCCTGGTCGGCACCGACGTAGCTTGAGTAAATGCTACGACGGTGATTAGCAAGTTTCGGTGGATTCAATGATGTCGTGAGTGAGACGGGAAGAAATAGGAATGTGACTTACAGAGCCCCGGGAATAGGACTGGGCACGCCGGAGCCGGTAACCGGGCGGGCGACGGCAACGGTGGGGATCCCTTGCTCAAAGAGATCGGCAGCCGCAGCTCTGGCGCTAGGACTGACGGAAGCCGCTCCGGGCCCCAGGATCACCAAACCCCTGTTCAAAGATTAGCATCGGCGGTGGAGGGGGGCTCTGCAAAAAGTGATCGGCTTACTTTGCCCCGTTTTGGACAGCGGCGTACATCAACGAGGCATCGAAGCCCTCTGGGACGTTGTCAGCGCGGAACGATCGTTCTGTTTATCTTTCGCGGGGAATACGTACGGTGACCGTAGACGATGATGACAGCAGGCAGCTCGGTCGTGTTGCTGACGTCAAAATAGGGACGGCCGGTGGGGTAAGCCGCGTCGAAGAAGTAGTATGGCTGGCCGGCGAGGAAGGCGCCGAGGTTTCCTTGCTCGAGAGCGTGGAAGGTGTCGGGAGTATTCGCGTTGACCTTGGTTGAGTAGTAGATTGATGTGATCCTAGCACAGTCAGATGCGGATATCTTCATGAACGCTTCTGAACTTCTTACCTGTCATTGAAAGCAATAAGTCCACCGCGGTTTCGCGAAGCAGGTGAGGCGGCGGCAGCGACAGCCTGGTAAAAGTTTGACCGTCCATCGGGAGAGATGTATGTGTCGGGGCGCATAGCGCCGGTCGCCACGAACGGCTTGGAGCAGTTGAAAGTCAAGTCGACCCCAAAAGCCTTCGCTCATGTCAGTCTTCTGATTCTTTGCCCATTCCATGTCATCAACCCACTGTCTCCTCTAATGTGTTCGTCCCGTGGAACATGATGGCACCAGCGATATCGCTTCCGTCAGAACAGAGCTGTTTGTTGGCATATTGGCTGATGTTCAAGTACAGCGAAGAATTGAGGCCCGCGCTGCCGCCGGATGCTGGGAATCTCACAATCGCAAGCTGGGCGACGTCGAGGACCTCGGTGATATTGCCAATCAGATCCTCGGGGGTGGGAGGGTTTCCCGAGCCGTAGGCGATGTTGTCAAGGCGACTGTAATTTGAGGCTGATAGGATGGTTCCACCGGCGCTGTAAATTCTGCATGTCGTTGTCAGCCAAGAGGAAGCCATATCCAAGCCTTTGCTGTACTCACACGACCTTGGGTAACGATGAGTTGGTCGAGATCCATTCCAGGTCCAAATCGTTTTGAGGCACATCTGCACGAGAGATAGGAGAGGCGCACGAAACAACGACCAATGATAGGAAAGCCCAATAGTGTCGAAGAAACATCATGATGTTGTATGATGATATCTTGGCATAGGAAGTGGTGTTTGTGCGGTGTTGTCACGACTGTGAAAGCGTCTTCGGTACCGTGTCACAGACCACATGTTGTCCTTATTTATATGTCACAAGTCGGACAATCCTGTGGCATTCTTCATGAATAATCATAGCCGTGACTACAAGCTTGATAGAGGATCTTACCCGCATGTAACGAAGCATACATCGGCCATTGAGCCTGCAGTGCAGCTCGTAGGCCTGAATTCCTTCACGGCGAGACTGGATAAGAACCCCACATCGTTATCTCGGCCAGCACCGCCGACGGCCAGGTTGGCGGTGTACCATTGCCTGTAGACCGAAGCTTGGCATTACGAATGCGTTGTTTTTGTCTTCGAAGCTTCTAAGCCATATTAATGTGACAACGTCACTTTGCTTCAAAGTCACCGCAGGAAATAAAGTCTTATCATGTAAAATCCGCTATCGGTATCCGAATCCTTGCGAAGTCATCAACCGGCTGCAGAATGGGCAACTCACGTTGGTATCGGGTGCTGTCCGGATGGTGCGAGTATGCGCGGGGTAGCTGGGTCTCCGGGTGGCTGGTATCTGTGGGGGTTAATGACGTTGATCCAGTGGTCGGCTGGGATGCATCGCGACCCTGCCCTCCGCCATCCCTCGTTGTCCTCAGTCATTTCGGTCGAGAAACTTGGTCACATTGAGAGGCGAAAGGGCAAAAATTAGATTAATCAATAGTCGATATAGGAAAAACGTCTGACGATGTAGGACTCTCCTGATAAAACCTATTCAGCCGCAGGACGTCTTAAAAAATGATTGGTTGATTCCTCTTCAAAATCTACCTACGCGTAATAGTTGAATACTGAGATATAGGTTCTAAGTGAAAAAGTGCTCCATCAAGAGGTCTGATGAGGATGGGCAAGGCCCTTTCTATATACATGTACAGCCCCTGCTCCTCACACTAACCATTCTGGGGCGACCCTGTTCAAAAGCAACCGCCAGAAACTAGGGTATGCCGTCGAAAACATGTGCACCAGAACTGCATCCAGTGGCAGTGAAATACCATCCCCACGAACGCTCAAGTGTTACCATCGGCTTCGTCTTGTTGCGGCTTTTTAGCAGGTAAACCAGCGTCCAGGACATGTTCACACCGCCTACGATAGCTTCCAAAGCAGCCGTTGCCTCCTGCACAACTTCCGGGTCTTGACATCTAACCAGTGCAAAGCCTATGGGGCGGATGATGGAGTTCTCAAGCCCAATCGTGGCGGGGCCGTTGAGGGGCTTCTCCCGGGCAAGCTGCATCATGCTGCGGATGAGATCTAGGTAAAGTGGCTTCACCGCCGGCAGCATGTTCGCGTGTGTCTTGTGGCGGGCGTGCAGCTCTGAGATGGTCTCGAGATACATGGTCTCGAGAATCATCGCCCGCGACCACCGGGAGCCATGGGTGATTCTGTGTTCTTTGGCGTGTTGCAAAAGCGGCGTGAAAGCGGTGCGCCACGAGTGAAGGAAGTCGTCGCATTCGTTGTACGCAGCAGCCTTCGTAGCCTCGCTGACTCGTCGGACCCCGTCCCCGGAAACCTTGAGAGGGTGGAGCGAATGGGCCATCATGTGTTGCACAAAGTTCCACCAGGTGAAAGCTTGCTGAGTGCTGTTGAAGCGGTCGGGAATTTTGCTCATGCTGAGTCGGTGTCGACACCCATGAGGAAACCGTCGTGCTGGGCACAATATTTTGACATGACCTGCCTTGCTTAATGATTCGATCCAGGGGGATGTATCGTGTCGCTCTAGAGAATCGAACATGGCCTTGTCCATATCCGAGAGTCTAAGCTCCTCAAGGGGAAGACCCTGCTCCTCGATCAACAAATCAACGTATTGGTACATCATGGCCACAGCGTGGTTGTGGTGTTTGGCGGCATTGACTGTGCTGCCAGCCATGAACTCGAAAGTCGTGAAAAGCATCGACGCCAGAATGGCGCTGGGCAAGGTGGTCTTTGAGGACTTCAGTCGGTATATTGCGCGGACCCCGCGACCATAATGCTCCAAGGCCGCCTGGTACTCCTCACTGATGTAATCTTCCAGGGTCATCGACTGGAAGGACCTCCCAAGCGCACCCACAGCGCAACAGATTTGACGGACACCACTAGTCTCCGCTGCGCTTTGGGCGAACTTGGGAGTCATGATTGAAGCATCATCGATGAGGAGCGTGTCTCCCGACTCGACACTAAAGGCAAATGACTGGAAAGCCTCCCAGTCCTTCTGCTGGCCAAATAGCATTGTTTCATAGCCAGGGATCTTGAATAAACGGGTATCGGTGGTGGAGAAATTGTGGCTACGGGAGACAATCCGTGCCTGTTTCGACGGCAGCAGAGTGCGGGACGTTGAGTCTAGGTAGCCAGGACACTCGCGTCCGGACTTGACACATTTCATGCAGAACGGCCTAGCTTGATCGCACTTGACGTGGCGCCGCCTGGGCCGGTGTATAAGTACAAGGGATTTCGGAGGATGGAGACCCCAGGGGAATGGGGAGAACGGGGTCTTGCAAGTGACATATCCATACATACCTGCATTCTCGACATCCGGTACGGCTTTTCGGGGCGCTGGCTCGACTGAGCTTCGGGCGATTGGCAACCGAGAACGCCATGATTTGACCATTTTTCGGGGGCCTATTGGTTTCCTCTCAAGTCAGCGTGGAACTGCAAGCACCATGCAGCTCATTTATCCCGACTGAGACAGACTTGTGCCACCATCGGACCAGTCTGCATGTGAACCAAGACGCCGGGACCGATCCTTCCCAGTTCGGACCGTCCCTTAGCATTGACACATCACAGCGCTCGACTCTACCTGCACCAACCCGTACGTACCGTTCATCCGGACCTGTAGGGCTCCGCGATTGGGTTCTAGACGAGCTTCTGCTGTCGCTACCCTTCGTAGACGCGGAACTCGCATCCATTCTGTCAAGATACAATACACTGAATCAGGCGCTAGTACGACGCGAGATGCCCCAAAGACAAACGTAAACGAGTAGCATGCGAATACGAGAGGAAGAAGGAATGCAGCCGAAGAGCTCCAACGAGTGTGGTGGTCTGAGAGCTGGAATCGGCATATCAAGAAGGAATCAAGCTTCGTCAAATGCCCCTGAAATGACCCTCTCGCCAACAGGCAACAGAGAATTAGAGACGGAGGATCCCGAGGACTAGGGAGTTCGGCGATCAAGGGTTGTGATCCTTCCAGGTTCTGACCAATCATAGCTTTAGAACTCTTCAATCTACAGATTTGAGCAGCCAATGAAAAGGTCGGACAAACGCACTTCCTTTTTGGGAACCCATGTCCGTCACGTAATTTATCACTAAATGTGGTCCCGGCATGCGACATATGTGATCGAGCCCATGCATCCCGATAATTGATATCAAAAGAGCGTTGGCATACAACTGCTTTTCTGGCGAATCAAACTGCCGTCAGTCTTCCTTGAGATTCCACGAAAGACGCCGGAGGAGCCGGTCCGCATAAATGGGTCTGCTCTTCCGCCTCCGGTCTTAACAGCGGTATGTGTGACCCGCTTGACCCGTCCGCGATCTCACCCAGTGCATCTCATTCACAGCATGATGTCAAAGGCGCCCTGACTATAATTTCTCTCCCATTGATGATAAGCAAGTATAGCGAGTCATCGCAGACATCGCCGGGATATAGTTTTCATAGTGTTGAAAGGTTAAGGTTGTGGCTGACAGTCAAACCTTGGATGATATGCTTATTTTAATCCGAATGGCTCAAAATCAGATTAACGGTTTACAGTGGTTGAGGCGTACAATATCCAAGCCGCTAACTTCACAGTTTGAATTCACTTTTTCAGCTATGGCAACCTGCTCCTCATCATTGCGTCATTACGTTTTCACGATTAGCTACAATTAGAGACTGTTTTACTTAACGTTGCGGCAATTGCTGCTGCTATGTATTTCATTCTTGAATTGGGGACACGCCAAGTTGCAACTGAGGTTACACCACTAAAATCATCAGCACTTTGAATTGACTGCAATGTTGGCTGAACGGTGTCTTGCGTCTGTTTCAACACATCGTCAATAAAGTGTAAGCCCCTTAGGCAAAAATAACCAGGTTGCCCCTAAATCGCAGCTTGGAAGCGTTCAATTTCAATTGCTCTTTTTTAACAGAATTGGAAGTGAACGATGCATTTCGCGCCCTATGTTTGACATGTTTTCTGGGGCAAAACAAGCAATATGAAATGGATGCCATCCTTCCGGTACCCCGTGCCGCTTACCAAATATATTTGAGTCACTTTTCAAAGCCCGATCCGCCGCTTCGGAGGCATGTGATGCACTTACCATTTATTCATTCATAGCGTCGCGTTAGGCGAGGACTACGATCTCTAGACTACCATCAACTTGCGGTGTCATCTCGTCAGCACTGTCACACTACTGATCGGACACAGGTAGCAAGCAACAAACTCACTGCTCAATCCCCGAATTTAACTGACATTCTGATAACCGTGAGACGGCCGACATTGCGCCCACCAGTTTATTAGGAATGACGAATGTAGACCCTGAAGCGAGTTGACCACATGAAATGCATTCAATCAATTGGCACGTTCAATTCTTGCAGGTAGAAGCGTTGGCCCGAGCAGGTGGGTAGAATCCGGGCTATTCCCGCCAAACTACCAAATAGGCCGGAAGCGCGTCGGCATCTGGTTGGTCCACCGTGCGGTACCGGCCCGAAACTGCAAAGTTCGCGTAAGAGATTCAAAAGCCGGGGGATCTTTTGAGATTAGTAACTCCGCGGGGTGCATCATAGAGTATGACTATTTCTCTTGAACCCTTGTTTTCCTGCAACCTCGGTAAGGAGTAAGGAAAAAACACAACAAAGCCAACAAAACCGACGACATCGCCAAGGGCAATCGGCAGTTCAATTGCAACACCCCAGCAAACCGAACAAACCGCCACAAACTGCTTCAGACTTCCGTACAACCGCCTCAAAAGTCACCGGTCGGAGCCCATCCTATGACGCCACCAACCACATTCCGTCTATGACAGCGCAGGAAGCCCAGTCCGGCAAGATGGACAGCACAGACAAGGAAACGAGGTCAGACTCGTCGCGGAATGATGGCCTCGTGGATGTTGAGGCGGCCGCAACAGAGAGTCGCGTCGGGCGCGTACTGAGTCGAATCGCGTCGGTTCCGATAACAGACCCTGGCCCTCCACCCGATGGAGGCTACTCTGCGTGGATGGCTGGTAAGAGCCAATGAAGACTATTGAATCGTATGGTGAAGGTCTCGTCTCTGACTTGCTTTTTAAATGTAGCTCTCGCCGCTCACTTTATCTTCATGGACACATGGTAAGGGTCCGCCGCTGCTTATGGTTTCCACAAAAACTGATGTTGTCATACTTGCAGGGGTTTTATCAACTCTTTCGGAGTCTTCCAGACATACTATGTTGAATTGCTGAAGCGACCACCTGCCGACGTCTCTTGGATCGGCTCTATTCAAGTCTTCCTGCTGTTCTTCATTGGTGCCTTTTCAGGCCGATTCACAGACGCAGGCTACTTTCGCCCTCTGTTTCTCTGCGGATCATTCTTAATTCTTCTCGGCACCTTCGCAACCTCATGGTGCACCCAGTACTGGCAAATACTTCTTTCTCACGGCGTTTGCGTTGGCATAGGAAACGGTCTCTCATTCTGTCCAACATTGGCAGTACTGTCTACGTACTTTGACAAGAGAAGAGCCGTGGCTATTGGTATCGCGGCTGTAGGCAGCGCCTCGGGAGGACTCGTCTTTCCAAGCACCGTTAGACAATTGCTCCCTTCGGCTGGGTTTCCCTGGGCGATGCGCACGCTGGGCTTCATTCAGTTGGCAACCCTGACGATTGGGTTCATCTTTTTGAAGCCTCGGCTGCCGCCGCGAAAAAAGGCCCAGTTGGTGGACCTGAGGGCCTTCCAAGAGTTGGAATATTCCTTCTACGCTGCCGGTGGCTTTTTCGTAAGTCGGACCCAAAGAGACGTTATTTTAAGTTTTAACCCTACTGACTGGAAATTATTAATAGTCGTTCATGGGGGTATATTTCGCCTTCTACTACGCCGCCTCGTATAGTCGAGACGAACTCGGCTTCTCATACCCGAACTCGCTCAACCTACTTCTGATCTTGAACGGCATTGGTTTCATCGGACGTCTTGTTCCCAACTGGTTCGCCGACAAGGTGGGAACTATCACCGTGTTTACTCCCATGGCCTTTCTCTCTGGAGTTTTGACATATTGTTGGATTGCCGTCAAGACGCCGACCGGCCTCTACATTTGGACCGTCGTATTCGGTTTCGTGGGCAACGCCGTCCAGGCTCTCTTCCCGGCCGGCGTCAGTGCTCTGACAACAGACCCAAGCAAGCAGGGGACGCGCATCGGTATGATATTTACAATCGTCAGTTTCGCCGTGCTGAGCGGACCTCCCATCGCGGGCGCCATCATCACCGCATGCGGCGGGAGATACTACGGCGCTCAGGCCTTTGCAGGCAGCTGTCTCATGATCGGAACCTTCTTCTTAGCGCTGGCACGGGTAGTCAAGACCAAGAAGAAAGGCGAAGGGTGGTTTGCAAAGATTTAGCGAAGTGTTAACGTTGTGGAAACGTTGCGGAAAAATGCATAGCCAGGGGGCTCGGTAATTTTGTAACTATAAATCGTGTATATATGTCGGATACCAATGACTCGCATATATTCGAAATCCGCGTCTTGTCGCATTGAAGCGGGAGCACAATATGATATAATATATCGTCACTATCGATCGGCGTTTGCAGACTAGCAGCTTCAGCTCTGCGTCATTTCATGCTAGTGTTCAATTCAGCTCACACGACACATCTTCATACCTTCAAAGACTTCATTTCAAGGGCGATGAACAAGATAGGCAGAGTCTCTTCTCTTCGAGGTCTTTCAAAAACAGTTCTTGGGTTATCGATTGGCAACGTACGACTTGCAACTGCCGAAGCTCAACCCCCTGATGGACCTCGGAAGCGGGCAGACAATTCTGACTCGCTACGGGTCCACCACCAAACCTGCAGCGACAGCCTCTTAGTCAGGAACAAACTCGGACAACGTGAATCAATGGCCTTACTCAAGGCTTGAGAATCAAATATGGGTTATGGTCCACGTGCTGTATGCTTACTACCTAGCTTAGCATGGCAATTGTGGAGAGAAATGTCCTAGCTTGATTTTGTCATTGCTTACAGTGATGGCCCAAGACGGAGAATGTGGTCGCTTTTAAAAACCCGCGTATGGGGCCCATGTGGCGATACCAAATTTAACTTTGATATGGATAGCCAAAACAGATTAAGACTCCCCCATCCAGCCCTTCATGATTGGCACAGCTACGTCTTGGCTTCCGAGTTGCCACAATTAGACTAGGTCTCATGCAAGTTGCAACGTCGTTCGGACCAACTTCTGCGCCTTAGGGACCCAGTAAACAACATTTGAACCAAGTCCCCAACCCATCTACATGGAACGGGAAACTTGGCTAAAATGGATCGTGACAGCACACTGACCAATGTAAAAGTGACGATAGTATCGCAGGGCTGGGTAAAGAGGCCCTAAGCGAGCACAACTATCCTTGAAATGGTTCCGCTGGGGGACCCGACGAGATCAGCGGCAGCCTGCCGGCTGTGAGTTGTCTTCCCGGCAAGTCAATTCGACATAAAGCTCTTGTGGCCGGCTGCACTCCCGAGGATTATTGATCAGAGGAAGTCAGTCTTGGCTTCTGTCAGTTCATCCGAAAAAGCGACTCTGACATCATGGCAGTCCTCCGCCAATGCCTGTGGCTTCTTGTGGCGGCTCAAGCCACTGCCACGGCTGCTGCCACGAGCTCTTACAACTTTACGCAAGCTGCCATCGACAAGGGCGAGGCCATGACCCAACTCGGAGCCGATGCGCTTCGGGCGGCAAAGGCCTTGAATGCAGCTTCGGGTCTCAACTCAACCTGCACACCCGATAAGGTTCAGGTTAGGAAAGAATGGTGAGGCACATCCAGCATTATTCGTCATTTCCCCTTCACGTCTAACACTTGAGGCACAGGAGAACTCTTCCCGCGGAAGAGCGCAAGTCTTTCGTTGCCGCAGTCCAGTGCCTTCAATCTTCTCCGACCTTGCTCGATGCTGTTCAGATGCCCGCGGCCAAGTCCCTCTTCGACGACTTCGTTTTGATTCACATGAACCAGACTGGGAGGATACACGCCACGGTATGTACTCCATTAGATGCCTAGCCAAGGGCATGCCCAAGATGTTCAGCATCGGAACTAAGTACGTGAAACGTTAGGCAAACTTTCTGACTTGGCATCGTTATTTCACTTGGATCTACGAGCAGAAGCTGCGCTCTGTTTGTGGTTACCAAGGTAAGTGACGCGGCCCAACTTTCGTCTCAAATATCAAGAGGTCTCACCAACCACGGCAGGAACCTTCCCGTACTGGGATTGGAGTCTCGACGTCGAAGACCCGGCCAAGTCCCCCGTATTCGACGGATCTGAGACCTCCATGGGAGGCAACGGCGCCTTCATCCCTCACGAGGGGCTGCAGCTTGTGCAGTCCGTCTCCAACACCACCATAAAGCTCGAGCCCGGCTCCGGTGGTGGCTGTGTCGAGTCCGGCCCGTTCGCGAACATGACGGTCCACGTAGGTCCCGTCTCGATGCCGGTGTACGGCTCTTCGACGAACAGAACCGCAGCCGCGAAACCCACGGACGACAACCCCCGCTGCCTCAAACGCGACCTCAACAAGCACATCGCCCAGCGGTACACCTCTTTCCGCAACGTCACTAGTCTGATCCTGGAAAACGACAACGTCGAGTGGTTCCAGGCCGTTTTCCAGGGTGACGATCGCTACGTTTCCGGACTCGAGCTTGGTGCTCACGGAGGTGGCCATTACACCATCGGCGGTAAGTTCTCAACCTCTGACCTGATTGAAGATGCAAGTGTTGGAATCGCGAGTGGCGCCGGGTCTTGTGGGTGATCAGAGCCGGTGGGCGGGGGCAGTCGGGGCCCAAGGTGCCGGCGGCTCTGCCCATCTGCCTTCATCACCACGGCGGCTCGGCCTACGACCCCTCGTATTTACGCACTTGTTGCCAATTTCAGCCTCTTGACACGATCTGTGGGACTTACACTGACACCAACGACTCTCAGGCGATCCTGGCTCGGACCCCTTCATCTCACCTGGCGAGCCAGTCTTCTTCCTGCACCACGCCCAGGTTGACCGCGTCTACTGGATCTGGCAGATGCTTGATTTTGCAAACCGACAGGTATGTTTTTAGGGCGTCTTTGTTTCGCCCAGCCTTCCGCGGGATGCGTCTGTGGACAAATTTAGACTGACCATGTTTTCGTTTGAAGGAGGTTTTTGGCACCGAAACGTTGCAGAACAACCCGCCAAGCCGAAACGTCACGGTGGAGGACACTGTCGATATTTCACCCCTTGGTGGGCCGCTCGTCATGAAGGATCTGATGAGCACCGTCGGAGGATCCCCCTTCTGCTACGTCTACGAATGATTTTCGTTCTAGACCAATGGCTTAATCGATGATTCCCAAATTTCGTTTCAACCTGTATTTACTAAGATAGAGGCTGTACATAGACGTTAAAGCTGGCCAAGGCTAGTCCTTCGCATTTAATCAAGATACCCTCTCAAGTTGGCGACAACTCTGGCTCATTCGTTAGTGGTGCAATAGTAGATTCAGATCTGCCCAATGAATAGATCCGACGGGCGGCGTGCAGGCAAGTCGCGCCCTAGAAGGTGAGGCGCACATGCATGTGTCACCTTTGACTCCGATCTGCCCGCATGGCATGATCTGATGCCATCCGAAGGTGGCTGCATGATGAGCTTAGCCAGGCTCTACTTGTCAATTTGAAACTCTTGGCCAGGGGTGGTTCGTCTAATAAGAGGGCCGCAGCACAAAAGAGACAACTCGTGACGAGCGAGGTCGCCGGGGACCTGGGGGCAAGAGTTAGGACGAAACTCTATTCGGCGGGAATCCATGTTTTCGGAGGGAAAATGCGGCACTTGATCCCAAACCCGGCTTAACGAGAATCATATGCCAGGGGTCCTGGCCTTGGTTCCTAATTAGGTTTGTGGCCTGGAACAGAACCTCACGACAGATGGCATCAAACCCGTCTGAAACCCCCGCAGCCCCCAAAAATGAAGCCCAGACTCTCCGGTGAGCGCGCCGGTCGGGGCGCGGTGAGTAAGAGATCGAGTCAAGAATAATCCGGTCTTTTTACGCCGTTGTGAGTCCGTGTTCGAGGCATGTCAGTATAACAGATGGCATGGCGCTGCAACTTCAACTTTCAGACGATGTCGAGCGAGCCTCTCGTTATGTTGGCATGATTTCCGGGTCTTTTCTTATTATCACTTTTTAGTCGGTCACTTCCGCAATAATGTTTTCCTTAACCCAAGCCTTCCTTTCTATTCTCTCGGCCGGAATCATCGGTCAGGTCCAGGCGGTTGATCCGCTCGTCGACCTTGGCTACACTAAACTTCAGGGCGTCGCTGAGCCAAGCGGTGCGACTCGATGGTTGGGCGTTCGATTTGCGGCACCGCCGACTGGTCAACTGCGATTCGCCGCGCCCGTCGACCCTCCCGCTACAACCGACGTTCAAGATGCTTCTCAGGTAACATTCGCTTGTTCCCTCTCGGCATCTGCCCACTCACACAGTTCTTGTCTAGTTTCGCCCGATATGTCTCGCTCGAAGCGCGTCAGATTTCACCATGAAGCCCAACAAGCGGTTCACCACCGATGAGGACTGCTTGTACGTCAACATCTTCGCGCCATCCAATGCGACTCCCGATTCGAAGCTGCCGGTCATGTACTTCATCCAAGGTGGAGGTTTCCAGTCGCTCTCGAACGCCAACTTCAACGGCAGTGACCTAGCCAGGTTTGGAAACATGCTGGTGGTCCAGGTCAACTACCGTGTTGGACCCTATGGTTTCTTGCAGAGCAAGGAGGTTCAGACTGGCGCGAGCATGAACAACGGGTTGAAGGACCAGATCCAGGGTTTGAAATGGCTCAAACAGCATGCTGCTGCGGTAGGTTTCTCTGCAACTGACTGGGGTCGCATTGATAACTAACATGAAACCAGTTCGGAGGAAACCCCGATCAGATGGTAGCTGTTGGAGACTCGGCCGGCGCAACCTCTGTCGCCATGCTTCTCGCTGCGTTCGGTGACAACGACCCCGGCTTGATCAAGGGCGCCATCATGGAATCCGTCAGTGTGGCCACTGTTCGCACCCTCGAGCAGGGCCAAGAGCAGTACAACTGCCTGACTAATGCTACCAGTTGCAACAAGCAACCCGATTCTCTTGCTTGTCTCCGTGGTCTTGATGCAAAGGCGTTGCAGACGGAGAACTGCCAGTTCAACCCCAACCTCGACGGCGATCTCGTCAAAGCACCAACTTTGCAGCGCTTTGCCGAGGGCAAGTACCTCAAAGTCCCAACCATCGCCGGAACATGTACCGATGAGGGAACCAAGAACGTCCCACAGAGCACCGACACCATCGAGGATGCTCTCAAGACGATCAATAACCAGGCGACGCAGTCATTGAGCAATGCATCTCTGACAGTGCTTCAGCAGACGTACCTCGATGTGCAACAGCCCGTCTTCCCCAAGTCCGGAAAGCTGTGGCGTCAACTTGCCACTGCACACGGTGACTTCAGAGCTCACTGCATCACCAAGATCTTCCAAGATGCTCAGGCCCGCGACGGTGTGAAGACATTCAACTACCGCTATGGCCCGATTGATGATGAGCAGGAGGCTCTGGGATTCGGTGCATACCACACCGTCGAGTTGAACGGCGTCTTCGGTCCTAACAACACCGACGGTGCCCCTCCGAAGAGCTACTCGACCACGAACGCGCCTATCGTGCCATTGACTCAGGCTTACTGGGCCAGCTTCGTCAAAACACTCGATCCCAACGCCGCCAAGATCCAGGCAGGCATGCCGGAGTGGCAGGCGTGGACGGCCGACGGAAAGCAGAGACTGCTATTCCAGAACAACACTGGTACTATGGAGGGCATGCCTACTGCCCAACAAGACAACTGCGCCATGCTCGCACCCATGATCCCCTTCATTGAGACCCCGGCGACGGATGCCCAGAAGGCGACTGTGGAGCTGAAGAAGGTCAACTCACAGGCCGCACCTCCAGCCGCACCTCCCGCACCCCCGAAGGCTGCTTTCATTACCGATGTTGCTCGTATGATGGCTGCGGCCGATAATGAAGAGCACAAGAAGAACAACGGTACAGCGAAGGGCGGCAAGAAGGGCAAGGGCGAGGGTAAGGGCAAAGGTGAAGGAGGCGCAGCCAAGGGCAATGGAACCGAACCCAGCGGAGGAAAAGGTGGTAAGGAAGGCAAAGGCAAAGGAAAGGGTGAAGGAGGTGCGGCGAAGGGCAACGGTACTGAGCCCAGCGGAGGAGGCAAGGGTGGTAAAGGAGGAAAAGGGAAGGGCGAAGGCGGTGCGGCCAGGGGCAACAGCACCGAGCCCCGAGGAGGAAAAGGAAAAGGAAATGGTACTGCTGGTGGTGGCGGCAGGGGAGGAAACTCGACCGCGCCCCCAACAGTCGTCCCTCCTGGAAAGAGCTCTGCTACGGAGAACTTCCATGGGCTCTCTTGGATGTGGTCATCCATTGCCCTGGTGTGCCTGGGCCAGTTCCTTTTGGCTTGAAGATAGATACTTTCGGCCGTTATTTGTAGTATACGAGACCTGCGAAGCATGAGACCACGGGCTTGCCCGTATTGATGATCAACTTGTATTCAATATCTCTGACCGACCTTCAGTGCTTCATGCTACCATTTTATATGCCGACTGTTTTCTGCCGTACATCAAAGTTTTGTGTATATTTCAAGCCTCTGTATTCCCAATGTGCTCATCCGACTCTCATAATCTTGACTTCAACTCCATTGCTGTAGTCTCGATGCCACTCTTGGTTTTGTTCTCAGTCTGTTTGATCTGGGTAACGAGCCAACGTTCTATAGCCGATACCAATCCCTCGACCTGCTGAATGGTATTTCCTCCATGGATGCAGATCCTCACTCTCTCGCTTCCTGCTGGAACTGTGGGTGCGACGATGGGCCGGACCATGAAGCCCCGCTGCTGGCAGTGCAGTGCCAGACCTCTGGGGTTGGACGTGAATAGCGGTATGATTGGTGATTTTGGCTTCTCTGAAGAAAGATATAGAAGACCTGCTTCTGGTTGGTATTGGCTGCAAAGCTCTTGGAGAAGCTGATGTGTGCGTCCAATGAGTGACCACAAATGGCGGAGTAGGGGCTCAGAGCGGCCGTCCATGATAAAGTTGTAAGCCGTTTGTATGCTGGCGAGTGCTGTGAATGGCATGGCCGTGGTGTAGATGAGACTGCGGGCGTAGTTGATCAAATACGATCTTGTAATCTGAGAGCAGAGAACGATGGCTGAACCTGTCAGTCAATGGATCTAAAGAAGAGAGTGAAACGGATGTAACTTACCTCCGGCGCAACTCATCGCCTTGCCGAATGTGTGAACTCGTCCCCAAACCCGATCCTCCAAGCCTAAGTCACAGACAAGTCCGCGGCCCCTATCACCCAATATGCCCGTTGAGTGGGCCTCGTCGACGATGATCAGGCCGTTCCCGTGCGGAAGCTGTCTTTCAACACACTCTACTATTTCTTTCAAAGGCGCCACGTCTCCATCCATGCTGTAGATACCCTCCACGGCGATGAAGACGTTCTTTGTGCCCTCTCTCACAGCCTTGCCTTCTTCACCGCGAGTCAATTCAGACAGAACCTCGCTCAAGCTTCGACTCGGGCTTTGGCCTCTTGCTGTCTCGTCCCACAACCGGTCTCCATTTGCGTTCTCGATCGGATGAACCGTATTGTGGGCGAAGGCGATCTTCCTTCCAGCCCGACTCATCTTCATCCCATCGTGCACGCTGGCGTGAATCAACTCATCGTAGACGATGATGTCGCCGTGCTGAGGGACGCAACTGAAAAGCCCAACATTTGCATCAAACCCCGAATTGAAGAGTAGCCCAGCCTGTCCACCATGAAAAGCCGCAATGTCTCTTTCGAGAGACTCTGCAAGCGATACATTGCCATCCAAGAGGCGTGATCCACCAGAGCCGAGGAGAGCCGGGGTGTTTCCGTCCTCAGCACCATCAATCGGATTGAGGTGGGCCTGGATTCGGGTGAGATACCCGCGCTGGACCTCCGGGTGGGTCGAGAGGGAAAGGTACGCGTTGGACGAGAAGTCGGCGCTGCCGGCCGGGACGAGGGTCAGGCGCCGGAGCTGGCTCTTGGCCTCCCGGCGAGCCAGGAGTGCCGCAAACACACTGTCCAAACGGTCGCTTGCCGGCATAGTTGAGATGAATTGGTTGTTGGGATCGTTGCGGGATGTGTCAATGTGTCAAATGAGGGACCACACACACCCAACCTCGGCATGGAAAGTCAAGAGACGAGGGAATTTCCCCTTGCACCCGGCGATCTCTCATAAACGCGAATGCGAGATCCATGCAGGTTCAAGTTCAACCCCACCAGGCACACCTACCGGGCCGCACCGTTGGGAAACCCATTGGTGACTCGTGAGTAAGTGACACATAAGTCACTAAACTCAACAAGTTTTCCTTTTTCCCTATGATAGCCGCTGCGTTGCCCCAGTTCTCGGCGCAACAAATGCCGCAGCCTACGGTCCGTACCCCGCCCCGTCTCCTCCTCTTCCCCAGGCCTCGGAGCTTCCGGTTGGAGACAGCTCTTTTTCATTTCAGGCGCCTTGCTTGCTGCTCGCTGACAGCAAACGGAATTCGGACACCATTCATTGGCCTCATCACTTGTCTCTGCTCTCAATTGCAATCCTGCTGTCTTTGATGGGCGTTTGATACTGGTTCAAGCCCTCAATGGCACCTGTCGGCGCCCTACTCTGGCGCTCCTTGAGAGCATACCAGATTTACGGCGCCAATACCGATGTCGGAAAGACCGTCTTCTCCTCGGTCCTGTGCAATGCAGCTCGCAAGCACTGGCCGCATGAGCAGACGGCGTTTCTCAAACCCGTCTCTACGGGCCCGGCTTCTGAAGCCGACGATGGGTGTATGTCCGGACCCTCATTTCCTCAACGAACGAACTCCATTTTTATCGCGGCTTCTCACCATTTACACACTGACCATCTCAACTAACCTCGGAAATAGAAGGGCAATATCCTCGGTTCTCAATCGGTATTCGTGATTCACTGATTGACATCCTCTTAGTCACATCGACAAGTTCGCCCCCGGAGTCGCGAACAAGACGCTGTTTCAGTTTGAGATTCCAGCAAGCCCGCATCTGGCCGCCGAGGTTTCGGAACAGGTGAGTTTGCTGCTACTTTTAGAAAATGCAACGTCAGGTTTTGGAGCTGCCACTGAAACATTCGCCTTAGCCCACCCCGACCGATAATGAAGTCCTGAAAGGTGTTTACAGCTACGCATCGCGCCGAGCGGCCGGTGGCCCCGGCTGGCTTTTCGTTGAGACGGCCGGCGGTGTGCACTCGCCGGGCCCGTCCGGAACCCCGCAAGCCGACCTTTACGCCCCGCTCCGGGTCCCGGTCATTTTCATCGGCGATTCCAAGCTCGGCGGTATCTCCCAGACCATCTCTGCCTTCGAGTCCCTCAAGCTTCGTGGCTACGACGTCGAATCCATCTTACTCTTCCGCGATGAGCAGTACCAGAACTATTCCTACCTGACCGACTACTTCGCCAAGGGACATGGCATCCCCGTCAATTCTCTCGAGCAGCCACCGGCTCGCGTCGAGGATGCGCGAGCTGATGCCAAAGCGTTATCTCAATACTACGATGAGATGAGTTCTTCCAAAGTCATCAAGCACACCATAAATCACCTGCATGACCGCCACCTCGCTCGGATTTCTCGCCTCGAGACCATGTCTCGCGACGCACACAACATCATCTGGTACCCCTTCACACAGCACAAGAACCTCACGCCCGAAAAGATCACGGCAATTGACTCTGCCCACGGCGACTGCTTCCAAACTCTGGTTCCCGAGAGCAAGGGCTCATCGACAGACCAGGCCCTCTTGCAGCCCTCGTTCGACGGATCTTCATCATGGTGGACACAAGGTCTTGGTCACGCGAACCCCAAGCTGATTCTCGCCGCATCCTACGCCGCTGGCCGCTACGGACACGTCATGTTTGCCTCCGCAGTTCACGAGCCTGCGTTGGCTCTTGCCGAAACTCTCCTCAAGGGACTGGAGAACCCGCGTCTCTCTCGCGTCTTCTACTCTGACAATGGCAGCACTGGTATGGAAGTCGCCGTCAAGATGGGCCTGCGTGCAGCCAGGGTCCGATATGGCTGGGAAGCAAACGACAAGCTTGAGATTCTCGGTTTGAAGGGCAGCTACCACGGCGATACCATGGGCGCGATGGACTCTACGGAACCCTCTGTCTTTAATGAGAAGGTCGAATGGTACGAGGGCAAGGGTTTCTGGTTTGACTACCCCTACGTCCTGTGCAAGGATGGCCAGTGGCAAGTCCAAGTACCCAAAGCCCTGCAGGCAGATTTGGGCGCCGGACAGACGTTCAGCACTTTGTCCGAGGTCTTCAATGTGACTAGTAGGGAACAGGCTCAGCAGCAAGAGGCATACGAGAAGTACATCGTCAAGGTTCTCACTCGTCTTCGCGATCAGGGACGCAAGTTTGGCGCTCTCGTTATGGAACCAGTCATTCTTGGAGCTGGAGGCATGATCATGGCGTAAGTATCCACACATTCGTGTCGCACCTCTTGCTAACCTGCCATTTGAAGCGATCCTCTGTTCCAGCGCACTCTTGTCAAGGTTACCCGGCAACACCCTGAGCTCTTCGGCACATCAACCACTGCCATCAACGAAGATGGAACCACCTGGACTGGCCTGCCGGTCGTCTTTGACGAAGTCTTCACTGGCCTCACCCGTCTCGGCCGCTTCTCTGCTGCATCTTTCCTCGGCGTCGACCCGGATGTCATCTGTAACGCGAAGCTGCTCACGGGAGGCTTGGTGCCGCTTTGCACCACCTCGGCATCTGACAGCATCTTCCGGGCCTTCGAGAGCGATGAGAAGAGTGACGCTCTCTTGCATGGCCACAGCTACACTGCTCATGCCGTTGGATGCCAGGTCGCTATCGAGTCTCTCCATGAGTTGCAAAGGATGGACAAGCAGGGAGAGTGGGACTGGGCAAAGAAGAGCGAATGGGCGGCCGAGTCGACTGCCGTCACCATCTCCAAGAATGAAGAATCGGCTGCTGTTTGGTCTGTGTGGTCTCAGCCGTTTGTTGACTGGGTCTCCAAGCAGAATGGTCGTGTTGCGGGAGTATGGGCTCTGGGATCCGTTCTTGCTATCCACCTGGAAGATAACGAGGGAGCTGGCTACTCAAGCAATGTAGCCGTGGATCTTCAAAGCGCCCTACTGAAGGGTGATACTGGCTCTGAGGGTGAGCGATGGAACGTCCACAGCCGAGTGCTGGGTAATGTTCTCTACGTCATGACCAGTCAAACGACAAAACAGGAAGATATAGAAAGGCTCCAAAGGCTTTTGAGGCAGGCTCTAATTTAGTTGAAGTGAGACCGCGGTGTCTTATTGAGACCAGTTTCAGAGGCATGCATACAATGTGAATAATAATAACCATTACATCCCAGATTCGATTGTGCTGTGTCCTCGTGCAATATCAGTGGTTCTCTGGCAGGCGATTGTCAGGTGGCGTGAAGTTGTCCTTCTTTTCCGTACCTGACACAGCAGTATCCGTTGATGTATGTGAATTCTTTCCGCTTCGTCTTTTGCGGCTTGGGCCGCGAGCGCAATATCTGGTTGTGGAGCGTTCAATACTCATGCTCTCTTCAGACAATTCGAATGTGACGAGTGTGTCAACTTACGTGATAACAGCGACTATAATCAATACTGCACTGCCACAGCCTACACCAACTCCAATTCTCTGCTGTTTATTCAAATCTGATCTCAAGTGTCAGCAGATATCTCAGAGTCGGTGTTTGGATGAGCCACCTACCTTGTGCTGCAGGGCTACCACTTACAGGTGGGCTACTGGGCTCGGCCGTTGGTCCTGTTGTAGATGAGGCCGTAGGTGTGGGGGATCTGGTAGAGAAAGATCTTGTACTGCTAGAAGTTATGTCTATCACGATGGTAGTAGGCTCTGTACCGCAGGAGAACGATGTTGCGGCCCCAGAGCCCCATACATAATCAACACAAAACGATCCATCCCCGGAACTAAAAGAATTGGGCGTCAACATACAAACGGCTTTCTGATTGGACATGTCTCTCACCAAGTCATAATGAGAGAATTTGGTGTGGACGTCTGCTGTGGAAGACTCGGGTCGATACAAGTTGTGTAGGGAACACAGTCGCTCCCACTCGGGCAGCAACCGAGATAAACGCCGCTGTCCGAAGTTGTACTGACACAAACATCATCGCCGGGGCACTCCAGGGAAATGTCTGCGGAGCCAAACTCAGAAAACCGAACCGCTCAGTAAAACGCAGCTCTGACTCACCATTAACCTTAGGGCAGATGTCTTGAAATGCGTTCTGTCTTCTGAGGAACCTCATTTTTGCCTTTAAAGGGCGTGTTGTTCCGGTAATTTGAGGCGTAGCCTGATCATGCGCAGTTCGAGATACTTGCGCCAGACATCTCGCAATATTTATGAGAAAAAAGCCTGAGTAGGTTACCTGAATTAAAGAAAGCATTGTATTGAATTTTCCTTACACTAGATACCATGTCTATCAGACTCAAGGGAAAGATAGTTACGGGGATGACTCGGAGATATGAACAAAATTCGTAGGCGCATTCACACTTGTTTGACCACAGCCTTGTCTTAAAATAGCTTGACAGTCGCACAGAAGTCCAGCCGGCTTGTCGGATGGAAATGGACAAATATGTCTTTTTAAAAACAATCGCCGCCGCATCCGCTCTGCTTACGGTGAGGCTCCAGGGTCTTCATTGGCTTGATCGTCTACCATCACACTTTTCGTCTGCCGTCAGCTCCAAGGCTCAGAGCCCCTGCTATCTTGGGCGCATCTCATGTTCGCTAGCTTACTGCATGGCGCCCGATAAAACGTTCAGCTGGCAGATCCCAGCCACTTAGGTCACGACTGGCTGCTTGGATCCCACCATTGGTCGGGGCACCAATTATAACAGTTCGACAATCCCTTTGCCAGCGTTTTCTGTCGAAGTCAATGATCATCCTTTGGTTGCGCTTGTTTCTATTCCCTCCAAGGAGCGAGCAACTATGACTACTTGTTCTCAACCAAATTGTACAAGCTTAGAATCCCTCAAAGGATTTGACGATTATCTCCGTCAAATTCGCAATGTAACGCAGTTCAGAGAAGACCTCCTTGCAAACTGCAGCACAGAAATATGTGGTGCAATCTGGGGAGAAAGTAATCCGGATATATCTGGTATTGGAGTATGATTCTTTCCATTCCTAAGTGCTCGGAAGTGGCTTACAAATGAAGGTGTCTATCGGATATGCGGTGGAGGCAGCTCTCGGCCTGTTCTTTGCTACTGCGCTTTTGAGCATTCGGCAGAGAAAAGGCCCGCATTGGGAGTTCGCTCAGTTGGCATGCGCTGCTGGCTTCGAGGCATTCTTCGGATCCGCCATCTATTTTGCGATTTCACTTGAAGTTGCCGCAATCTATATGCTTGTAAACAAAGACTATGGGATCTCAACTGCCGGCTTGGGAGCTACTGAGGCGCAGATAATCTGGGCGGTCTCCGTCGTCTGCATTTTACCTTTGTTGTATCCGATGGCTCTGTTGTCAACGCATCTATACCATCCTGAGTCTGAGAGACAAAAGCCACCAGAGTCATCGGAGAGTACCTCGATCACATCAGCAGACGTTCGTCTAACCCTGTTTTCTCTGCTCACTGTTTTATTCTTCTATCCTTTCCTGTCTCAATGCATTCATAACTGGGGTCCGTCTCGGGTCGGTGAAGGCAAGGGCGCTGATGGTGAAACGCTGGCGACTGACGAAGAATGGAATCAACTTGAAATTCTGTGCCTCGACTATGGAAAAAGGCTCTCCGATGCAGAAAGCAAGTTCTTGGCTGTTTTCGAGCTTGTTTCTTCAGTTTTCATAATTCTCTTTGCACTTTGGTTGGCAGTTGCAGCCGGCGCTCGTAGAATGGCGGCTCAAGACCGAGCTTTCGGCGAGGAAAGATGTTTGACCAGGTTTTTCCTCCAGTTGCGAAGGCTGGTCAATCAATCATGGAAGAACTACGGCGTTATTCGAGCAATCTTGCTCTTGACCCCGACTATCCTGGTCGTCCCTTTGCTGTGGGGAATTTTCCGGTTGAGAGAGATACAATCCGCTTCGCTTGAGAAAGTGGGTCTTACATATACCAGCAATGAATGGGGATTTGGTCAGGTTGTCGGTATCATCATTTTTGCGCCGGTTGTTACAGATACGGCTTTCGCGGCGTGGGCAGCGAGATCGTTGCTCATAGTGTGATTGTGCTTACTCATCTCAAACGTCACAAATACTTTTACGTGGGAAATGTAGTCAAAACGATAAGGCATTGAGAGACTACCGTATGTTCTCACGGGAGCTATTGAACAAGTGAGATCCTAGTTCCCGGGGATCGCTTGAGGAGTAGATACACATAAACTACGAACATAGCAAATGAAGCGTATGAGTTGCCTCGCAGCATCCCAGGAATCCCTAGCAGGCAGTATAGTTTTGATTATGAAAGCAATAGCGAGTTCCGGAGGAATACAAATCCACGAACTATACCGTACTTATACGGGCCGCTGCCACGTGCTGCGAATTTTGCAGCGTATTGGTCTCTTGAGGAGAGAGACTCATCAGAGGACTCTCCCCCGGCGGGGTCAACCCTCTAATCTCTGAGACTTGCGGTGGCCTGAACCCCTCGTATGGTTTCGGTGCCTGAGGGCCTACGACAAGATTTGTAGTAGATGGACCTCTTCTTTTCCTCCTGAGGGGCCAGCAAGCACAGTATCTGGCTTTAAATCAGCGAAAATCTAAGCTTGGGGAATGCAACTTACACAATGCTTGAGAGAAACATGAGTGCAACACTTGCACAACCAGTGCTGACTCCAATCTGCTGATCTCTTGTGAGATCTTTCTTTATCAGTTTGCATGCTCAAGACAATGGAATGGGGCAATGGAGACCTACCTTGCATCACACCGCTTCCCGGTGGCGGTCTCGTTGTAGGCCTTGGTTTAGAAGTTGTGGACGTGGCGGTAGAAGTTTCCGTTGCCGAAGTCACTGATGGTTCATCGGTGATTGTTGTGCCAGGAGGTCCTGAGGTCAGCGTGAGTGTGGGAGCATCTGGTGGCAAAGAAGTACCCGGTGCTCCAGGGTTTCCAGATGCAGATCCCGTACCCGGTGCTCCAGGGTTTGCAGATGCAGATCCCGTACCCGGCGCTCCAGGGTTTGCAGATGCAGATCTGCTGGCAGTTGGGCTGAAATATGTACTTTCAAATGTCGTGCTTGGTTGTATTGTTGTTTTAGTTGGAGAAGCAGTTGGAGATGGTGGCCTTTCGGAACATGAAAATGCCGTGAGAGAGTTCCATACCATCGTCACACACCAAGGTGCGGCTCTCGTGCTGTCAAGTACCATTAGCATGGATTCAGTTGATTCCTTTCATGTTGTCAATTGAATAGCCTCACCATGACAAAACTGAGGTAGGGATAGCTGACAGAGCCCATCCCGCCGTTCGTGTTGTTCCATCATAGGCTGCTATGTAACCCCTCCAACATTCTGTATAAATGGAGCAACTACCCCTCGACCCGCAACACCCAACGTGGTTCTGATCTGTCGTACAGGTGCTAGTATCGGGACAAACCAGTCTGTTTCCACACGTCTTCTGGCCCGGTGCTTGCCTTTCAAGATGAACTGGAGGCAAAGTCACCACAGATTGCGGGGCATCCGATCTGACTGTGGGAGGCAATGCTACGAGAACTGCGCACTCAACAATACATAGGATGGCATGGTAGCAAACGATGAAGTTAAACAGCCTGCGCAGTTTAATCATGGCGGTGAATGTACGAAGCGAAGATATGAGAAGGAGAATGAAAATGAGAATGAAAATGAGAAACGAGGCACTGTCGCGCAATCCACCTGGAGTGGGTTTGAACTTGATAATATGACATTGTTAGCCGACAGCAGGGAGCCAAAATTGACAAATCTTCGACTGCAAAGAGTGAAGAAATTGGCTGAAGTCAATGTGACTTCCTTTTGCCTCATTCGGCAGCCTTGCGAGCTCCGAAACGCTTTCAGGAACGGTGGCTTTTTATTTCACTGACTTAATCTGCCTGGCCTCAACGCTTTCGTCAATATTGGGGAGCCTCACGCATCCCTTCGACCGGCTAGTTTCAGATGCCTTACAGCGGACATTTTGCCTACACGATCCTCAGACAAGAACGTGCGCTCTGCAGCTGAAATTTAAGACCAAGGAAATTGGACAATCCGTCTGAGAAGCCAGACTCTCTCCCTTGAGGCTCTGCGGTCTCGAAATCTTTTCTAAATCTTGGGCAAAGTCCTTTCTCACTGCTTTCTTGCGCGTTCTCGCTCGATGATCATCTCTCGCAAACAATCAAGCGCGATGGCCGCAGCAGTTCCATGCAAAGAACTCCAAGTTCTCAACGGTTTTAACAATTATATTGGGGTCGTGAGAGCACACACCAATTTCAGTATTGAACTTCTGGATCAATGCAAGGAAGAGATCTGCCATGCCATCTGGGGAGAGACTAATCCTGATATCTCTGGTATAGGAGTAAGTGCACAACAACGTGTTCGACGAAATGGTCGATTCTGACTCTAATAATTTAATAGGTCTGTATCGGTTATGCAATTGAACTGGCGGTTGGCTTTCTCTTGGCAGCTTTCATGATGTTTATTCGACAAAGACAGGGTCGAAAATGGGAGTTCCTTCAAATCGTCACCAAGAAGGGCCTTGAGGCCTTCTTCGAGTTCGCAATCTACTTCGCTGTTGCTATAGAGCTAGCAACAATTATCATGCTCGTCAACAAGGATTTTGGTATATCTACCGCTAATTTCGGGGCTAACGAAGCTCAGAATGCGTTGGCCATTGCCGTCATCTGCATCATACCACTCGTGTATCCGATTGCTCTATTGCCGGCACGAGTATTCCATCCGGAAAGCAACAGGCAGCATTTGGCGGACAGAAAGGCAGAAGATAACGAGAGACGTCATAACTTCAGACTGATTATGTTCTCTCTCGTTATCGTTCTGTTCTTCTATCCGTTTTTATCTCAGTGCATCCACAACTGGGCGGAACTTCGGGTTGGCCAGGCAGCTGGTGGAGGTACTGAAGGAGTGGTACTCATCACTGGAGAGGAGTATGAACGCGTAAAGAATATGTGTTTCGGGGATATTGATAGATTCACCGATGCGGAACATTGGTTGCTCGCCATCTGCGAGATCATAGCTTCCCTGCTATTGTTCCTCTTCACTTTATGGTATGCCATGGGAGCTGGCTTGCAGCGGTGGAAGGAAGGCGAAAAGTTCTCTGGAAAAGAGCACCAGGCGACCAAAGTCTTGTCAAGAACTCATGGAAAGCTTCAGAGAGGATGGCACGGTCACCGCGGCATGCTCTTGTTCTTGCCTATTACATTTGGGAGCTGCCTATTGTGGTGCATATTTCGCTTACGAAGGATGCAAGCTGCTGCAGCGGAACATATGGGAAATGATTATGAGGGAAACAATTGGGGCTTTGGCCAGATTGTCGGTATCATCATCTTCGCTCCTGTTGTTGTGGATATGGGATTTGCTGCTTGGAGTGCCCGATCTTTGCTGGGTTGGGGTGACTATGATGCTCTGAGTAGCCGGGAAAGCTTCTAAGCTTGGAGGGAGATAGTTGTTGATGGGAAACATTCAAGTTATTTTGTGAAGATGCTTTCATCGTAATTGAGTCATTTGTTCATTGCCATTCTAAGTTTCTCATCGTGGTTGTTCGCCCTCCCTGTTCCCTTTAAGTTGGCCAAGGGGCTTTCTACGGATACCGATAAGGTCCTGTTGCAGCTGCAAATCTTCATCGACAAGATACAGTCCTTGCTGATGCAATGCATCCCGAATTCTCGCTATTTGAGAATTCCCCATACTAGCTGCGCTGGTGTTTGGGATATCGTGATGCCCTCCAATTATGCATCGCGAATTCTCACCGCTCCTAGAGAGGTACTAACTGATCAAATCATCACATGGGACTGGATTCATCTGCCGTGCTTGATGCCCGTGGCTGGTGAGACTATTCCACGCTCCAACGTGTTACTTACACAGCGGCCGTCGGTCAGCGATGCAGTAGTCTGTCATCACTAAGACGCAGAACGTGATTTGCAAAGGATTTAAAAGGTTCTCCGGGTCTTGCAGATCTGATGCGCGACATGAAGCAGTCGACGCAGCGGCATAAATCCGCGACAGGTCTCTGTCGCCTCGGAAAATCAGCGCACTGAGGCCCAAGCTGTAACCCGGAGCGTCTGGTTAAAGTTGACGTGTCGTGCGGATTTAGTGCTGACCTTGCGTGCAATTCCCGGCGGCCTTGCAGGATGGAAGCGAGAGCGGGAAGGGTGGTGCTTGCATAGGTAGATCACGTACAGTTCCTGAGTGATCCTTAAGGATTGAACAATGACTGAAACTCTCTATTCATCTCAACTTACCGAGGTGAAAATAATTGAGATATGTGATTATCTATCTTCATGAACTATACCGAGCTTCAATTTCCAGATGGATGCAGGCTGCCATGAACGGACGGAGTTAACGATGGTTTGCAGATGAGAACAGGGTTCCGACCGAAGGTTACCGATCATGCGGTGACTGAATCATCCCAGCGACGGATCATCTCCCAGGCTGTGGAACAGGGATCATCAGCGCTACAGACGGCCCTAAGCAACCGAATTCCAAAGTCCGTGTCCGTGGGCAGCAGACTCTTCTTCCAAGTTCACAAAAGATCAGACTTAAAGACGAATTGGAAGTATTTCAAAAAAGAGCCGGTAGTTGGAAGAAAAGCTTTGATCAAGTCTTCAAATGAAGCAAAAGATGTGGCGGATGAGGTCATGTTCGCTGACGTATGCAGCCCCAGCTCGGCCAACTCTGATGATCCTCCACAGCGACGAGAAAAGCGCGAAGCTCCGTGATGAGTGGCTAAAGGCACCGTCGGCCGCTGTAACCCCAGGCTTGGCCAGGTACAGGGAGATCTGCAATCTAATCTGTTCCCGTGCGCGCCGCAAAAATGCCGGCCGCCTCCCGCTTACCGCCCTATCTTGATGCTTAGCTTTGCTTGGCTATGTGTGTGGCTGTCTGCACACTGCTGCAGTGGGATGGATGCCACCCAGAACTTACGGCGTACTGTTTCCTTGTCTGTCGTATCTGTCTTTCTGTCACATTGTCACTCTGTCACTCAATCTTTGTTGCCGTCCAGCCGTATCTCTTTCCGCTCCCCCCTGGCCATCTCATCTGCAAATGCTTCTATTCTCCAGTCTGCTGCAGTCCCCGTTGCCACTCAATCAGAGACCGTCACTCGGGAAACAGTGGAGATGCCTAGGCAAAAAGCCGTTCAGCTGTTCCCACATTTTGGCCCTGTTTCTCTCCGAGGCGTCCGAGAGAAGAGCGGATATCACGGCCCGTCCTAGCATCAAAGCTTGACCTCTCGATCGCCCCCACACAGCGTTCACGCCTGCAGCGCCGCCCACGTCTGTGTGAGCACGCACATCTCGTCGCACGGAGAGTCCGTCTTGTCAGGGGTTTCCCTCGTGTCCAAGCTGTCTTTCTGTTCTCTGGCGTTCCTCGTTCCCCCCACAGAAGTCGAGCTCCATCTGTGAGGAGCCGTAGACGAGTACCGAAAGTGGCCCTCTTGCGGTTTCGCAATCGCACTTGTTCATAGAACAAATGGAGCCCGGGCAGGCCCTGTTTTGACGGCCGAATTCCGTCCTACCTCCATATTTCGCCTCCACTCTGTCCGTCAGAGACCGCCCGCCCTCCCTTCAGATATCCCCCTTGGTGGATAAGCACTTCGCGGCTCGCCCCTACGCCACGACCGATCCTTCTTTCTTCTAGACTGAAGACCGGTCGGTAGGCTTCACTTACAATGAACTCCAAACAAGCCTCTCTCCTTCGCTCGCTCCCCACATCGGCCCCGGCGCACCGTTCAGCGCCGACCGGCCGATAGCGGTCCGGGAGGGGCATTCGATGTTTTGTCGTTGCAGGGCGGTGGGAACTGCTGGCCATGTGGGCATGACGTCGTCGTCTCATGTCTTCGCCGAGTTACTTCCTAATGGGCGGACGTGTAGGCCAAGGAAAAATGCCGCTGTGGTTCTGGACCTCACGGCCATGGCGACTCGTAGTCGTGAGGAGAGAGTTTTCTCTGAATGTATAAAGCCTCTTGCTCGGCCGCTCCTGACATCAATATCAGAAACAGCTCATCTTACTCACGCACAGTTTTCATCATTGAGTTATCATCAAGTTTACACATATACCCCTATTTGAACTACTAGTATCATTGATTTCATCACTACATCAACAAACCAATACCAGTATACCAACAACAGCATGGCCACGACTCAGTACGGAAAGCGCTTGATCCCTCAGGTGCTCGACGAGATCGCCAAGTCAGACCCTCACGCCGAAGTCCTCTCAGTTCCCCGCTCATCCAACCCCAAAGATGGATGGAGGAAGATCACCTACAAGCAGCTCGCCAACGCGGTGAACCGCATAGCTCACAGAATTATCGACAAGAGGGGCAAGCCTGAACCCGAAAGCTTCCCTACTCTCACCTACATCGGCCCCAGCGATGCCCGCTACATGATTGTCATGATTGCCTGTATCAAGGCTGGATACAAGGCGCTCCTGATCTCCCCCAGGAATTCGCATGAGGGCCAGATGAACCTTTTCGAGAAGACGGACTGCAACATCATCTGCTTCGACTCATCATTCAAGGATGTCATCCAGCCCCTTTTGGAAGAACGCCAGATGGATGCCATCATGGTGAGCTCCGCCGATGCCTGGCTCGACGAGACGGAAGTCCCCCACTTCCCTTACGATAAGACCTTCGAGGAGGCTAAGATGGACCCCGTCGTCGTTCTGCACACGAGTGGTAGCACCGGCCTCCCGAAGCCCATCGTCGCCCGTGTGGGCATGTGTGCTGTCGCCGATGCATTCCACGACCTCCCGGATTTCATGGGTTCCGAGAACTGCATCAAGTCTATCATGCTTGGCGAGCGCATCTTCCTGCCGATGCCCCTATTCCACGCCGCCGGATGCTACATGTCCACCTTTGCCGCCATCTACTGGAAGCACCCTGTCGCATTGGGCTTCATTGACCGCCCTCTCACCCCTCAGACCGTCTTGGACGCTGTTGAATACGCCAAGATCGACAACATCATCTTGCCTCCTGCCATTCTTGAGGAGATGGCTCACATGCCCGAGGGTATCGAGGCTCTCAAGAAGCTTAAGCGCGTGAACTTTGGCGGTGGTAACCTCGCGCGCGAGGCAGGCAACATTCTCACAAAGGCTGGCGTCAAGGTCTGCAGTGTCATCGCCTTCACTGAGGCTGCTCCCCTCCCGTACTTTTTCCAGAAGAACTTGGACCTCTGGCAATGGTTCATCGTCGACTCCGAGCGTCTGGGCGTGGAATGGCGCCAGGCCAGCGGTGAGGACGAGGACATTTACGAGCAGGTCATCGTTCGTAAGGATAAGGAGGATCCTCTCCAGGGTATTTTCTACACCTTCCCTGACGCCAAGGAGTACTCCACCAAGGATCTTTACCGCAAGCACCCTTCACTTCCCAACCACTGGATGTACTACGGCCGTGCCGACAACATTATCGTCTTCTCCAACGGTGAGAAGCTGAACCCGGTCACCATTGAGGAGATCGTTACTGGTCACCCGAGAGTCAAGGGTGCCGTTGTTGCCGGAGCTATGCGCTTCCAGCCGCTGCTGATTATCGAGCCCATGGAGGATCTCAAGACAGAAGAGGAGAAGGAGAAGTTCATTGACGATGTCTGGCCCCTGGTTGTGAAGGCGAACAAGGAAACCGTTGCCCACGGTCAGATTGGTCGCCAGTTCATCGCCGTCACCACCCCTGACAAGCCATTCCCTCGCGCCGGAAAGGGCACCATCCAACGTCCTATGGCACTGAAGCTGTACAAGGAGGAGCTCGACGAGTGGTACCAGAAGGCCGAGGACGGTTCTGACTCCGTTTCCGTCCACATCGATGTCAGCTCTCAGCAGACCCTCATCGACTCCATCGAGAAGCTCTTCCAGCAGACTCTCGGCAGCAGAGCGCTCTCCGCCGACTCCGATTTCTTCAGTGCCGGTATCGACTCCATGCAGGTCATCAACGCCTCCCGTCTCCTCCGCAAGGGTCTTGAGGCCGCCGGCGCCAACATTACCGCCGACGCTATCGCCACCCGTGTTATCTACGCCCACCCGACACCCAGACAGCTGGCTTCTTACCTCTTGGACCGTGTCAGAAAGAACACTGGGGTCAACGGCGAAGATGAATCTGAAGGCCCCAACCATGACATCGCCGCCATGGAGGCCCAGCTTCAGAAGTACACCCGCGACCTGCCCCAGAAGCAGGGCAACAAGCCCGGTCCTAACGACCAGGGCCAGACCATCCTCATCACCGGTACCACGGGTGCTCTCGGCTCGTACATGCTCGACTTCATGGAGTCCAACCCGGCCGTCAAGAAGGTCGTCTGCCTCAACCGTAGCGAGGACAGCGATAAGCGCCAGGTCAAGATGAGCGCCGAGCGCGGCCTCAAGACCGATTTCAAAAAGGCCGAGTTCCTCTGCGCCGATATGTCCAAGAGCAACCTCGGCCTCGAGCCCGAGGTTTACGACAGACT